AATTTTTTTTTTGGCTTGTAGTCAGTAGAGTAGACTTAGAGTAGACAAACGGGTATTGAAATGATAAATGTGTTTTATTCTAGAGCTATTATGCTAGGAAATATTTACGTGCTCTATTCTATCAACCGGTCAGCTTTCCAATGGACTTTGGGACATGAAGCATCAGCTTTCTTCACAGAACATTTTGCTATCTGGCTATATATACTAAAGTGTGATGTCCAAAAACAATTAAAATAAGAGTTAATATGTGTTATTGTGTTTGTCCAGTTTTAACAAATTTTAACTCTGTAGGAATCTACGTTCAAGAAGCTTGAGAAAGACATATACTGTCGAAACGTCGTCATAAAATAAAATAATGAACAAAATCTAGAAACATCTTTTCAACCCCAACGACCTAAAGCCAAGAGTAAAATAAAAAAAATAAAAAAATAAGTAAATATAATTTTTAAATAGAAATATAAAGCACCTAATATAAATAATTTTGATTTCTAATTTTTTATTTATATTTTCGTTCCATTACACTGCATGCTTAGAAAATTAATAAATGTTTATATTTCATGATTTTAAAATTTGTTGTTAATATAACAAATTAGTTCTGTAATTATTATTATTTAATAAACCAACGTTGGCAAAAATTTAGAGACTATATTATTCTAAATAGGATATAATATAAATAATTTTGACATCTAATTTGTTGTATTATTATTTGTATAAACCAAACGTTGGCAAAAAATTTGAGACTATATTGACGTGAATAAATAGGATATAATATAAATAATTTTGACATCTAATTTGTTGTTTATATTTTTGCTACTACTTAAAAAATATTTATATTAAATCATTTTAAATTTTGTTGTTAATAGGTATAACAAATTATTACTGTTATTATTATTTATTAAACCAGTCTTTGCTTAAAAACATTAAAAATAATTTTCTCACATCCAAAATAACAAGTAATATTGCAGTGTAACAACAGAATATTAATAAAAAAAATGCAGAATATATAGACATACTATCCCTAACTAACTAAAGCCAAACAATAATATTCTTTGCTAATATCAACTAATACCAAAATATGGCAACAGCGCCCTTCATAATGTATTTTCTGTGTAAATACTAGCACCTCAATAAAAAAAATAATGTGTCCTTATCTATATCTGACTCCGCAAAAAATCAAAGATGCTGGCTTCTTTCATAGCATTGCCACCGACCGCTGTCGGGTTTCTCGGAAGTTTCTCGAAAGAAACCACGTCGCCGGGCGACAACTAAAATTCAGTTAATATTTTATTATAATCGATCCTGATGAATAAATGAATTTCATAAATGAATAAATTTTATAAATGAATGGTTTTTGCTGCCGAATTACTAGAATACAATATTTCAAGGCAGATGACGGATCTATTCGATAATTTTTATTCGAATAGTTTTCAACGAATGTTTTCTTACTAACTATCAAATTATTCGAATGAATTGCAACTATCGAATGTTTCGATAGTATTCATTCGATAGTTCCCACTACTATTTTTAGCATTAAAATATGTAGCACTTATAGTAACTTTAACCTTCAAAATTTTAACACCCTGTAGCTACGTAACGAAGCAAAATAGGACCTATGTTGAGATAATCTTATTTTAATAATTTTAATTACTTATAATAGTAATTTTTAATGTTAAACAAATCTTATTTTTTACATGAGGAATCTCCCCACGAGATGATGACAAGAAGATAATAAAAAACTAAGCTAAGCCAAGCGAAGACCAGATTTGTAAAAATCAAATCCCGTACTACTTCAGCGAAACTAAACGAAAATATATGAACGAAGATTCAAATCGTAGTTTAGTTTCGCCCGTTTTAGTTCGTGACCGGTTCCAGCGAATTTTTCGCAACGATTAGCAGAGATACAGCAGAGATACACTAAGAAAACGCAGCAGACTTAGCTGACTACTAAGCTAAAATCGTTCCCTTGCCTGTGGCCGGTCGCCTACAGTGGCCGCCTGCCTTAAAGGCGACCACTGCAAGCGAAACTAAACTAAGCTAAGAATATAGGAAGAAACGGCAACTAAACGATAATAAGTTTCATCAGCCACTGGGAACGATTTTCTATACTGATGACTTCAAAACACAAACTGGTGCTGGATGTGTAAAATATATTCCTATTCTATTCTAAAGATTATTCTATACTACTTATTACTCTATTCTATCAACCGGTCAGCTTTCCAATGGACTTTGGGACATGAAGCATCAGCTTTCTTCACAGAACATTTTGCTATCTGGAAAGCCTTAAGCTGGGCGCGCACTGCATCGGATCGGACCGACCAGCAAAAGCGACTGCGACCATCGTACATATAGACGGCGCCGGCGTCCACTAAAACATTTCGGCCTGTAGAGGACAGATTCCTACCTCTACCTATCTACGATAGTCGAGTCACCGCCTTCGCCGTTTCCCGCCGGACTGGTACCTTAGATTAACGACTGGTACCGATTCAGTGCGCGTACACCTTTATCCTATGTTATCATGGAATACAATCAAACTAGAGTGATAATTGTGTCTGACACTTTAGAAATCGTATCTAAAATTAATAACATATTTGTCCGAGACCTCTGAAACAAAAAATTCAGGCTCTTATTTGAAAGTGCAGTGAAAAGAGAAACAAACTCACGTTTTTCACGGGTCCCAAATCACATTAATATCTGTCAAAATATGCAATGAACAAAATTTTTCTTGGAATAAAAAATAGATTCAAAGCTTAGGTAATTACCTATAAAAATGGTCCTTATCATTTTTTTCGTAGAATTAGGAGTTTTCGAGATATTCCGCCTCAAAAATTCCTGAATTTTCTCTCAAAGTCTTAACGGCTGCGGAGATAGTTCATAAGCATAGATAAATGTAACAAGTTTAGATTGGAAAGCCCGTAAAAATTTTAGGTCGCGAAATTATTTTGGGTTGCGACCGTTATACGCGATCTGGCGCTGCTATAGCGGTTGCTAAGAACAACGGCAAACAAAAACAGAAATAATTTTCTCTTGTCAAAGTCAGAATCTTCAAAAATCATAATAATCTTTCAAAATCCAAACCGCTCTCATTAAAGAAATTCCGAAAAGTGTTTATAGCGTCCATTTTCAAAGTAATTATTGCTATCTTTTGAGTTCAATTCAAGTTTTATTTACTCTAACCGGCGATAATTGTGAAAAAGTGGCATTAAAACTTAAAAGCTGTGCTGTGAACTGTGAACTGCAAAAACCATCGTGGATCGTGGCATAACGTCGGTTTCCAATGTTTCATAGGTATTTCATACATGCGTCCTTATATAAAATAAAGTTTCTTGTATGCAACACACTGTCTTTTATTTATAAAATTAAACGAAAATAATAATAAATTTGAATAAACAATATTTGGCGATAATTCCGGAAAAAGCCGAACCGCTCCGAAATTTTCAAAAGTTTTGGGTCGCGACCGCTGCAAGGATAGCGCCAAATATTGTTTACATTGTCCTTATGGGCGCTTTCCAATCTAAACTTGTTTCATTTATCTATGTTCATAAGCGTATTATTGATTGATAAGACAAATTGTTTAATAACTCGGCTAAAATTTAATATCTTTTGATGATTCAAAGTTCATTTAAAAGGTAGAATTCAACAGTTATCACATTTTGGAACTTTATAGTACATAGCGAACAAAAAAGTTACTGTTATTCTTTAAATTGAGTGGCTGAACGAATCAGATAGGTAACTCTTTTTACTTTCGTGAAATAGAAAAGCAAAATAATAAAACAAGCGACAGTTCTTCCTCTTCTTGCAAAAATCAACACGAAATGTCATAATTGTCAAAAGTAAAATGTCATCAGCTTTTCATATTTCTAAATATCAGACAACATAGAAAAATGCATGGCCGCAAGTTGCTAACCTAATAAAAGTTCCAACCGGACCACAAAAATCCTTCGTTCCAACCGGACCACAAAACATCCCCCTTTAGAACTTTTTCTTTAATGGCCATAAGCGGGAGTAGAAGACCAACCGCCCGAACAAACACTAGAGGCGCCACCGGTCATCAAATGGTGTCAAAATTGCAAAAATTTAATCATGTAATTTTGACACAAGGGGTCGCTCTTAACTTTTTCAATTTTAATTCAATATTCATTATTTTCAAACTATATTATAACAGACTTTGTTGTATTTTGTGAATGTATAAATGTTTTCTTAGTATAAAGTTGCATTATAGTAATTTAAATTATATTACATACATATTTAAGATTCAAATATTATGACATATATGTCATTTGCCGTCTAAAATGTCATCTTGATAACGAAACGTTAATTATTGTCAAAAATGGTTAAAATCATGTCAAAATATTAAAATTTACAAGTTATAATTAGATATTTTATATTTTTTCAACAACAAACACATAATAGTACAGCGTAATGTTGATATGCAGGTCCATAACAAAAAGTGCCGTTATATTTTTCAGTTTTCAGCCGCGGAAGTTTCAGTGATATTAGTGTTGTCGGATATTTTTATTTGTGAAATAGAAATATTGCGTTTGGATTGCAAAACTAAAAGTCGAAGTTTTATTGCTATGTAAGTAAGCGTTTGTCCATTTTATATTTAACTTTTTTCATACCTACGACAAATATACATATATTGAAATTTTATAATTCGTTTTATTTAAAAAATGTTAGAAAACAAGCATGTAATCCTGTAATTGATATAATTGTTATGTAATATATTAGATTTAAATGTAATATATTACTTTTCAATATTAAAAAATGTAAATTTAAAAAATATATTAAAAATATATACAGCCATTAATTGAAATTTTTTGAGTGCGAACAAACACGAGAGGCGCTTTATTATTTTACTTTCTTAACATGACAGACGAAGTTCTAAAGGGGGATGTTTTGTGAACCGGACCGAGAACCGATCCTGGGACGGGAACTCTCAAATTCAAAGTAGATAATTCGTTTCACAGACTATACACAATGTAGGAAAAATAAAACACTGGTTTGTTAAAATAATAACAATTTAATTTAAAACTTTTTAAAATAAACACAGTAAAACGTATTTTAGATTGTTACGTTTTTGCTAAAACGATAAAATTATTAATAAATTATAAAATTGGCTGAGAAAACGGTAAATTAATAATGTGGCAATTAAGCATTATCAAATAAATCCATCAGAAGCACAGATATGACCATAAAATAATATCAGAATCTACAGTAAATACAAATAATAAAACTTTGACAGAAAATCTAAATCCGAAATATCAATCACGATTTCCATGTTTCTTGTACTTTTTCTTTTCGTATCTAAATATAAAATTTCTTAAATAATTTATTATAATATTCGTTGTTTTATAATGAAGCTATGTATCTTCGTAGCTCCTCCTGTGTATCGAAGATCATAACGTGGAAAGGTGATCCAGGTACGAAGTCTCCTGCCCATTTTACCTCCACTCGGTAATCTCCGGGTTCTGTCGGATCATACTGAAAAAGAAATTTAAATAAGTGGCTAATTCGATAAAGGGAGATATTGGTGATTTCATTCTAACCATATTCTTATGACCTATATAGGCTTGGTGCATTTCAAATGATTTTAAAAATTCCGACGGTAGCACTCGGTACGGCAGAAATCAGAACTGTTCGACTAACTTTATTTCATGCCACACAGTGCAGCGGATAGTAATTCTAGCGGGACAAAACCGCAGAAGCGATGTTTGGAACTTAAATAAAATCTAAGAAGGTAGCAAATTATAATAATAATAATAATAGCTCTCGTATATAGCGTTTAACGCCTTGGGAGTAGCAAGGTACCGGGTGGCCAAGTAAGAATGGACGCCGGCTGTATCTCAAAAACTACTTATCGTATAACTTTGGGAAAAAAAATGTAATAAGTAAATCGACAGTGAACAGCTTTTAAATATTACTATTATAATCATCGAGAAATTTGTAATTTTTTGATATAGAGTGTTTTGTTCTATCTTATAAAATAAAGTGGTGGGGGAAGGTTAAACTTACATTTTTTAAAATAAGGATAACTCTGGTTTAGATTACCCGATTGAAACAAACTAGGGCACGTTTAAAAGAACTTTTCTTTCTTAATGATCTCCAGTATAAATTTTGTTTCTATAAGTTTTTTCGTGGTAGCTAGAGGGCGCTGTTTGACATCATAACAGATATTGCGCTTTTGCATAAAAAATTTAAATATGAGGCTATATTTCTCTCTATCTTCTCTCTAACCGGAGATATTAAGAGAACAAATCATGTTAGGCTGCCCCTTATGATTATATGGTCTAAAAATTATAGTGGTAGGCTAGGAAACAAAAAGAGGTATGTCAAAATATCAAAATGTTTAAGTCCAGTTTTCATGCATCCAAATTTCGGGAGTTTTCTTAGAAAAATCACGTCATAAATATTTAAACGTGTTTATGTAACATTATCATCCATCCATATAATTTTTACAAATTTCTTGGTTAATTATACATAGGTAGTTCTCAGATTAAAATGTCCGAAAGTCGGACAATCCATAATTTTATTAAAATTTCTAGGAACTTTGTTCCGCCATATTGCTTGTAACAGAAAACGACCGAATTTCGTATGGCCGAAAACTAGGTGTTTATGTCATGTATGTCATTTAGTTATTAATCCAAGTTCGTTCTTGATTTCACTTGTTTTCGTGTTTTACCTGTTTTTTTGTGTTATTTACTATTATATTATAAAGTTTAAGTCGTTTGGGTATATATATATATATATATATATATATATATATATATATATATATATATATATATATATATATATATATATATATATATATATATATATATATATATATATATATATATATATATATATATATATATATATATATATATATATATTATATATATATATATATATATATATATATATATATATATATATATATATATATATATATATATATATATATATATATATACTTTTCATATAGCACCGAAGCGAAGGTGCGAATCTTAAGAATATGCACTACTAGTCCAAATCTACCTTTGATGCAAGTAGTTCAGCACCAAGACCGACGGGTCGGTCGGTAAATGTTTAGGCAGAAATTCTAGGATGGCGAATGATTGGACTTCTCTAATTATCTGAATGAAATGAACTATTCATAATTCCTAAGAAATGAATTGCCAATTTTGTTAGGGGACCCATCATGATGAAAATGCATTTGTTGCAATTTCATCAGCATGGATAAAGTTGGTGTAGTTGATGCAGTTAGTGCAGTTGTGTCGCTTATTTTGCTATGAATGTGTGGGGCTTCTTGGATACCACTTACTTTAGTAGATAGAGACGCTGGAGTGGCATATTTCCATGGCCAGCTAGGTCATCGGATTCAATATGACTGGGTTTTAATTTATGGGGTCGAATCAAGAACGAACATGGATAAAAAACAATTAAATGGTATTACAATATATGTTTTGATATTTTGACGTAACCAATTTACCTCTTTTTGTTTCTTAGCCTACTACTATAATTTTTAGACCATGTAATCCTAAGCGGCAGCCTAACATGATTTGTTCTCTTAATATCTCCGGTTAGAGAGAAGATAGAAAGTTGCGGTTTACGCTGATATTTTGAAAATTTTGTGCTCTATTTAACTGTGCAAAGAGAAATATAGCCTTCTATTTAAATTTTTTATGCAAAAGCGCAATATATGTTATGATGTCAAACAGCGCCTTCTAGCTACCACGAAAAAAAATTATGGAAACAAAATTTATACTGGAGATCATTAAGGAAAAAAATCTCTTTTAAACGAGCCCTAGTTTGTTTAAATCGGTTAACCTAAACCAGAGTTATCCTTATTTTAATAAAAGCTAGTTTAACCTTCCCCCACCATCTCTTTATTTTATGAGATAGAGCAAAACACTCTATACCATAAAAATTACAAATTTCTTGATGATTATAATAGTAATATTAAAAATACCTGTTCACCTGCATATTTTTGAGAAAACCCCTGTTTTCTGATTGGCTATCAGAGAAACGCCCCCTAGCGGACATTTTTCGAACTTGAAAATAATTTCCAGCTATTTCTCTTGGTAGATTTACTTATTAGCATTTTTTTCCCAAAGTTATACGATAAGTAGTTTCTGAGATACAGCCGGCGTCCATTCTTAGTTGGCCACCCGGTACAGCTTGCCATACTAGAGCCGTTCAAGGAAATTAAATGGTCTAATATGTCCGAAACTCGTTTAGTTTTAATACTGAATCATTGTCTACCACATTCAAAGTAGCTATAGCCTGTTTCTGTTTGATTTTTGAATATTCTGTTGATTCCTTTCAGAAGTGAACTGGATCAAGTCCATAAGATTTAGCGCTGTGCGCGATTTTAACACACGTGCTAAAGTTTAGAGCTAAAAACATCTTTTTTGATAAAATGCATGACAATAAAACCATTTTATCAAAAGTCTGAACCATTTGCACAAAGTGCAAGAGAAAGATTATCAGCCATCTGAAAGGTCTGATTCTATCGATTCTGAAAGTATAGTTTGATTTATTATTTCCACTATTACTGCATTAATAAGTTAGGCTGCTTTCCTACAAATACTTAGATATGTGACATGTTGTTGATATGAATAAAACTGCACGAGGAAGAAAAATATTACCATTTCATATAGACGTAACGTAACACACTCTAAAAGGCAACACATGAAATATCTTCTTCCCTTTATCCCGCATATACCGGGTGCGTCTCAAAAGTGTCTCACCCCTATAACTTTTTTATTTTTTCAGAGAAAAAAACGAGATTCGGTATGTTAGTATTTGAGATAAATTGGGATTGATTGACGCATTCAATTGTTTTTGGTTCTTCCTGTTTCACCGGAAATGACTACAACTTTTTGATTTTTAAATGGCACCCTCGGTATATTTCTACTTTATTAGATAGAAAATGACACTCTTCATAGAATGACATACCGTATATCAACTTCTGACATTTTCGGATATGGTTTATTTGAAATTGTAACATGCGGTTCATAAAGACAATTTGACTCAAAATACCAAGTGTGTGGTACCAAATTATTCGTAAAAATGCTTTTTCCAAATATGCTAATGACCCTTGTTCTATTTGAAAATACGATTGGGGCATCTTTTAAAAGGGGCTACTCACACGCCTGCCGCAGGGGCAATCTAGGGTTGTGTCCCTTGATTGCCTCCTTAATTGTGATGTGTGTAGGCAAGCAGAGGCAATTTCCTAAATCGGATCCTGCAGCCCTGCCCCGACACCCGTGTGTAGCGTGATTGGGCCAATTTCTGAGAAGCTTCTATAAAGCTTCCTAGATTGCTCCGACAGCCCTGCACCCTAGATTGCCCCTGCAGCAGGCATGTGTTTAGAAAAGCTTCCTAGATTGCTCCGACTGCCCTGCACCCTAGATTGCCCCTGCGGCTGGCGTGTGAGTAGCCCGCTTAACGGGCCAGGACAAGACACGAATAACATTAAGGCAGCAACATTAAATATTAAATAAAATAAAAATATGTATGCATCTTAAAATATTGTAAAGATGATGTTAGATACTTACTTTACACAAAATAGTTCGATCTTTTTGGCTCTCCCTCTGCATTTCAACTCTAAAAGCACCTTTGGGTCCCCGTACCCTAACTGTCAATTGTCCAGCTCCCGCTCCTCGAGTGTCACATATAAATCTGGATTGGAACGTGGCCAGTACTCCATGCTCTATTCCAGGCCCATAAACCCTTACCTAGAATAAATTTAATATTGTCAAAGTTTAATCGCAACTTTTCAAAGCATTGGTGGTTGGCGGTAAAAAGAACAGCAGTCCACTGCCTCTTCGATTTTTTACATTTGTTAAAAATAATAAATATCGTCAGTGAAACGTGATAACCTGCTAACTCCATTTTTTACGTTAATCAGTTTTTTTATACCATTAGAAAGAGAAAAAAATACTTTCCCATTAAAGAAAATTTGCAATTTTAACTCAATAATATCCAAACTCCCAGTGATCTGAAATAGCCACCGAAATGCTGCTAAGTCCATAATTTCCGTTACGATCACGCTAAAGCAAACACACGGATTCTTACTTGTATGTTTCTTTAGGACAGTACTTCGATCCAGGATCCAACTAGGCCAAAGGGGCCCGGGTGACAATGTAAGAAGGGGCCCGTGTGGATTTTTTTACGTATTTTTTCGCTTTACATTTTGGTCAATTTTTCCCTATTATATACAGGGTGAGTCTTAAATAAATGCAAATATTTTTAGGGGTAGTATGAGGTTTTTTGGGCAATTTTTTTTTTTAAATTTGAAATTTTTAAAAAAAAAATTTTGGAATTTTTTTAATTTTTAGTTTAAAAACATACTTTGTTTGTAATATGGCAACATAGGTAGTAGATTAAATTTACAAGAAAGAAAATCCAATAATTCTCAAAATTATAGCAAAAAAATGGAAATTTTAAAAGTGAAATAACTCGGTTGTTTTGGATTTATTTGAAAAAACGGTAAAGAGAAAATATTATGTTTCTTTTATCGAGATTTGCCAGCCCTGAAAATATTTGCACTTATTTAAAACTCACCCTGTATAGAAATCAGGGAACTACCCTAATGCAAGGTAAACCAATAAAATGCAAATGCCATAATGCAATGCAAAAGCAAATATTGTTAATAATAAATATATATATATATATATATATATATATATATATATATATATATATATATATATATATATATATATATATATATATATATATATATATATATATATATATATATATATATATATATATATATATATATATATATATAATATGGCCAGTCCGACCCTGCGTCGATCCGTTCTGTAAATACGGGGTATCCGTAAAGGGTAAGGGGAAAATGAAATTCTTGCTATAAATAGTTTAAATAACCATTACTTACTTGTACAAGAATTTCCATAATACCTAATCAGTTTTATTTTTTCCACGTTTTTCCACGTAAATGATACATAATTTTTTTCAAAAATTAAGGAGAAAAGTAATAAAAATTTAATAAAATCACGCACTGTTTTCCAAGCTCAGTCTACTACCGTTGTATAAAAATTAGGATCAGCATGGAAGGATTCTACCATATCTTCCCAGAATTATAAGTTTAATTTTTAAATTATTTTCATATTCATTAAGTCCAAAATGTTGCTACTTCAGATCTTTAAAAATACATTAAAAATTTATTCTTTTTTGGACTTGTATGTTTTGCTTCTAGACCGACGATATTATAAATATATGGTTATGAATATCATATATTTTTTAAATTTAATTGATTATTTCTAAATCTGTTTGGGTAATATTCAATTATTTCATTTTTAAAATTTCAAACAATAAAGGTTGCTATCTCCAGAAGTATATTTTTATTTCTTATTTCTGCAAGACGAATATCTGCTATCTCCCTATTGTGTCTGAAAAAAATGATGTAACACGAAATATTGAGTTATATTGTTTCCCAGCAAATAAAATTCTTATCTCTTTATCATATTAACGCATGAAAATACTTCCTACATGTCTACACATTTTTTTGTACAGTTTTTTTGTTCTCTTGTAAAATTAGGAATAATGGAGTTAGCAGTTTATCACATTTCACCGACGATATGGAATAGCAAGATAGCAAGGCTAAATCGAAATTAATAACTATTTATTCTCAATGTTTTCTAACTGAATTTATACCTACCATACAAATTGTATGGAAACGCTAAATTTTAGTACAAAGAATATTATTACCTTGCTTGCATCTGGAGCCCCAGCTACCTTCAGAATAAACGGCGAACCCTGTACGTGTTGTCCAGCGTACTTAATGGTTAGCTGGTGACGTCCAGGTTCCTGTGGCTTAACGTTGAGGGTGAACGTGGCATCGCCGTGATCGTACAACTCGCAGTAAGCCACTTTGCGCGGACCTGCGCAATGGGCGGTAAGTTCACCAGGTCCCGCTCTTCTCGTATCAATCCAGGAACGGATCTCTCTACCTACGACGCCCTGGCGGAGTCCTTCTCCAGAACACAGAACCTAAAAAACAATAATTAGAAAGAACTCACTTTCGCATGAATGTGTTATTCCACCACCACCTCAACTCAAGGCCAATCAACATGATATGGGCAACGCAAATATGGCGGCGAAGGCAGCGCATTATTAAATTGTTTACCTTTAACCTGAAAAGCCGGTAGTGGTTTCTCGTTCCTATTGCATACCAGAAATAATTAATTATCTTTAGTTTGTTGTGCTTCTGCAACATGTTTGTTTAGTTGTTAGTGTTCAGTGCATGGTGTGATCAGAAAATTGGGGAACACAAACATAGGGAACTTCAAACTTTTGTGCTTGTCGTACTCCTGTATTATTAATTATTTTAAGGTAAGAACTAGAAGTATTTATCAAGATATTACACCTAAATGTAATAAAATCTCTGTTCCAAATTGTCACGGGAATTATAGAGGGGGTCCCAAGGTTTCTGCTTTTATGTTATGCTGCTATTAAAAGAGATAATTTCACTCCTACTAGTAGTTCTCGGGTAAGAAGTGCATTAAGTATGCCTCAAAAAGGCCAAAGGCCAAAGCCTCTGTTACTCTAGTGAGGATGTAGTTATGGCTACTGCTTACACTTACCTCAATATAAGTAAAATATTGGAAGAAGAATCAAGCTTTTTACATCAAAAAGATCACAGAAAGATATTGACAACATTGACATTTGAAAATATAGATGGCCTGGGGCGCTATTCTGTACAATCGTCGGTATCGGTAAGTTACCGACAACTATCGGTACGTATTTGTATATAGTAAATATGTGTTGATTGTTGTTGTCATTGTTACCGATCGGCTCTATGACAGATATCGCAAATTTGTACCGACGACTCTCGGTATCTCTACCGTGAGGTTGACAAGGGCACGGTAGAGATACCGATTTTCGTCGGTACACATTTGCGATATCTGTCATAGGGCCGATCGGTAGGTAACTATGACAACAACAATCAACACATGTTTACTATATACAAATACGTACCGATAGCTGTCGTAACTTACCGATACCGACGATTTTACAGAATAGCGCCCCTGGATGTAAGTCTTTTTTTAGGTCACAATTGCCCCTCACATACGTCAGAATTTATTATTAAATCCATCTTGTTCAGAATATCCAATATTTTATTGAAGAACTATGTATGCAAAAAAAGGAATGACGTCTTTACCACAAAGACAATGCCCTATGTAAAGAGAAAGAGCAAAGAAAACTAAGCTAAGCGTAAGTTTTACTTACGAACCCCCAAAAACGTATTTAGTTTTTTTGTCTATATAAAATCTTGAAACAAATATTATATTTTTTACCATTATAGTTTATTTATATTATATATTATTATTTATATATTATTTATTTATATATTACACCTATTATAGTTTAAATTTATCCCATTTGTGTAATGCTGCAAAACATAGAAAAAATATTCCATATTTTTTGATCCAAGCCAGTGTAGTTTATAATTCCAAGAGCATTTACCAAGGCTTTTACTAAGGCAAGTAACTTCCTATACTGTCCATAATAGTATATATTTATCAAGCGTTCAGTAAATTCTAAACTATGGTAGGTAAGTGTTTGCAATTGAATATTTAGTTTATATTGCTATTTTCTGTCGTATATTTCTGGTTATTTCTTTTTCCGATGATTTTGAACACCCTATATATGCTACCTCAATTTTTATATTTTCACACTACTTATTTTCTGAGAAAGCAGACCTTTTTATAAAAAGTAACTAACTGATATTTTCATAAAAGTAATAATACAAAAAAATTCTATACTTATGTGGAGAACTTTAGACTCCCTGTATATTAAAAAATTAGTGAAATATTACATATTACGTAATCTAACCCTAAGGACTGTATATATTCTAAAGGACTGTTCGATCGCGTCAAATTGCCGCTGTCGTAGTCGCCGTGGATGCTTACGTCACGCAGGGACCAGCGCTACACAGTGCGGCGGATGGTTATTCTAGCGGGATCAAATCTCAAGAGCGATGTTTGGGACTTAAAATCTAAGAACGTAGCAAATGATCTAATAAATAGCGACCATATGGTTAAATTTATTTATTTATTAACAACTTAATTTATTAATAAATAAATAAATACAAGATAATATAACTATGATATTATTCGTACATGACACACAAAAACCGTACTGTAAACTATTGCCAAATACATAAAATTATGATATCAGGTGAAATACTTACAAAAAACTCTTTAGCAGTTATTTTTTAATTACTTTGTAATATTGTGACACCCTGTATATTTTATTTTAAAAAATTCAATTTTATTTTGAAAATAATAAATAAGATAGATATTTTAATTTTAACACTCGGTAATTGTAAATTCATATATAGTAAGTATCTAAGACAATTTTTTAAATTCAGTGCCTTTTGATGGAGTTGATTTGTTTTTATACTTTTCGATTGAAATGAAACTTTTTGAACATTCACCTGTTAAGCTTGAACTCCCTGTGACTGTAACTATCTGTGTTGGTAACTGTTGGTAACTCAAAAAATCTACATCATTCAATATATCGATATTTGAAAAAAAGTGAAATCTGCAGATTTCATATGATTTTTTGATATCTGCAGAACAAAGGCACGAAGGATTTTAACAAATAATATACGTACAGTAGAAAAGTACATACCTTTGGCAATCTTCAACATAATTTAGCTTTGGAATAAAATGTATAAGCAGTTGTAAATACTTTGTTTTCGTATGATTTCTGCCTTCCTGAGCAGAAAACGACCAAATTTGTTTGATAAAAATGTATCGAAATACAAAGAATATTCATGCATTTTTATATCAATTGGAATGTCTACTATTTATTCTTATCAGTACACATTTTTTGGCTTATTTCTAACCAAACACTTATATCCCGCTAAATTTATCTTCCAACGCACTGTGCTCTCGTCCGTCAAATGCAAAAATAACTGTCACTGTCTAAAATCTTTAGCGCCAACTTCAACTCGGTCCCTAGATGACGTAAAAAAACTGACAGTGCAGGAAGATAGGAATCGAACTATGCTTATCTCTATAGTATCCTTGATCTAGCCCGACATTTGTGTGAAAAATATCTATTTGGAAATAAAACAGGGTTTAAAATACGCGCCAAATAAAGCACTTCTATCCCCGCCATATTGGGAAAGGTTGAATGGCCTTGTGGTTATTCATGAAAAACATACAACAAAATGTTCATCACAGTCATATTAATAGTTGACTTACTTTTGTTGCATCGGCACCGCCTTTAGCCTCTACCATCAATGGGCAACCCTTAACGGGCCGACCAGCCCATAAAACAGATAACAGATAATTTCCTGGTGTGGTAATGGTGTATGATGCTCTCCATATTTTCTCACCTGCCAGACTAATCATAACAGGTACGGGAATGTTAGAATCGGCAGCATGAAGTGTGACTTCTGGATTGCCTATGGAAGTGTCTTTATTAAGGAGTTTTACTATGAAATATTTTCAATATCAATTGTATGGTACACATTTTTGTAATAAATAATCACAAAGATTATATGCTGAAGTCCGATATTATAAAATAAACAAAATCGATTTTGCAAAACTTTTTGAAGAAAATCTAAAGGTATGTTGTTCATATACACGCGAATTGTGAATATTATTGTTATTTCAATTTTGAAATTGTCAATTTCAAAAAAATACAAAGGCGGCAAGATTGACCAAAAGTTGTTAAAATATTTTGCGAATTTGCATAATTTAAAATATGGGAGCAGAAATATTGAAACTAATTTAACTTTGCGAATATTCGCTGCGAGTTTTGAGTTTTTAGGTTTTAATATATATCATCTCTTGTCATTTGTTTCTTATTATGATTATAATAATATAAACATTGGTTATGATTATTAGATACTTATTTTTTGCAATCTAATTTCTTTTTTAACGTTGTTGTAAAATTTGCAAAACCATCGAGAATCGAAATCCTTTATAGATATTTTATGGTAGTTTCTATTTTTTGTTCATCGGTAATTCTCATTTGTGCACTAAATTGTGATATGCTCCTTGCTGTTTTCACTTTTTTAAATATGTTACATGTTCCAATTGTTCTATGTATTTTATTTTTGTTGTTTTTTATTAATAAATATACAGCAATAGATCGTTCTACGCCAAAAATAAGTAGCTTTATCCCCATTACCAAAAATATACAAATAAACTACTATTCTAAACCTATGTATATGTTATTACGGCACCGCGACAACTGACCATAGATAAATAAAACAAGTTTAGATTGAAAAGTGCCCATAAAGACAATGTAAATACTATTTGGCGCTATTCTTGCAACGGTCGCGACCCAAAGCTTTTGATAATTTTTTTTTTTGATAATATTCGGATCGGTACGGTTTTTTCCGGAATTATGACGCCAAATATTATTTATTCAAATTAATTATTATTTTCTTTTTATTTTATAAATAATAATATTATATGAACTCGGTAAATAAAAGACGGTTTTATTTTACGCTATTCGCAATTCGCATTTCGCAATTCGCCTGTATATGAACTTACCTTAACCGGGGAAGCACATTTTGTCAAAAATCAAAAAGTCTCCGATTGCAACAAAAATATTTTGCTCATGTGGAATCCAGTGACATAAACCGTTCTACGATATCTCTAACAGACTATGTTAGTATTCGCTTAATTTGAAAAAATCTACAAAAGAAATACTTTTGCCCTTCTCTGCAACTTTGAAGAACCAATATATCTGACACGTACAAATTTCGAAAAAAGAACGGTTTTGTAAAGTACTCATGTAAGACTACGAAATATTGTAAAATAAGCAAAATCGATTTTCCAAAAAAAAATTAAAAAATTCTAAGAGAGGAACAAGCAAACTTTGTAAACTTATTGCTAACGTCTTGAGGATTTTTGTGCACATTTCTTGCTACTTACCAGAACTTGCTTTAGAACCATCGATAGTGAAAACTGCAGGTTCGCAGCATTTAGCTTCCGCTAAGCCTCTACCCGTTAAAACCACTTGATCGCCCAAGGAAACAATGCTGTTAGGTGATTCCGGTAAGGGAACTCCCGCAAATTTGATTTCAAATTCGTGTTCACCAGAATTGAGTCCTTCACCTAAAAGTAAAATAATAATACCTGTAATAAATAACTATAAGCAAAACATTCATAATTCATCCCAACAAGAGAAGAATGGGAAAGCAACCGAGTAATGAACACTTAAGAGATAGCAGTCTACAAAAATGCTTCCGTAACTTCAAAAGGTACAGGTATATGTATCTTTTCAGAGAAACTAGACATTTAGACATCCGACGATCTTTAAGGCTATTGCATGACTGTAATATTCAATAAGCAGAGGTTTAACCTAATATAAAGAAAGCGGCCAGTTGTATACGAGGGAAAATTGCTGATAAACAAATAGAAGATATCGTGATATACTCACGACAGTTTGGGCGCTTTAAGAAGCATCACCATGCAATAATCAGTGAAGTCGAAAACTGTGATGGACTGCCGAGAAGCAGTTTGTCCTGGCTGCGACATGGTGGGGCTACTGTGCTGGGTGCCAGGCCACAGCAATGTGATGGGCAACCAAGAAGCACACAGACTCGCCAAAGGGAGGGGGCAGGGGAGAAGCCGTGGCAGATAACCCACCTCTTGTGACGATCAACACACTGAAGGAAGCCATAAGAACTACCATCGAGGCCAAGCAATAAGAGACGTGGCAACGACTACTGCAGAGAATGCAGAGAGGAAGAAGAAACCATAGAGCACCTGCTGTGCCACTGTCCGGCACTGGAATACCAACGCTTAAAACTTTAGGGTAAGGTTTTCTGAAGAGACTAGAGGAAGCAGCAGAAACCGACATCGGGAATTTTGCAAAGAGCTGGAAGTGCTTTAACGCAAAGAAAGAATAAGAGGAAAGTTTGGTACAATAATACAGGGGTATCGCAATGGGCCCAAGGCAAAGAGATAACAGGATCCCAAACCCCAGCAACGTAATCTAACCTATCCTAACTTAAACATTCATAATACAAATATGTCGGACTTTACCAGATAAATCAAATCTTATTCGGGAACCGCTCTTTTCTGGATGAACTTTCCGTCCAGCTATCTTGCATTCCAGCGTTCCAGGTCCTGCATTCGAAATGTCAAATGCCAGTTTGGCCGGTAATTTTATTCTGCCTGAATCGTCCAAATATTGATTCCAACCGCCTATCAGACGAACTGCTTCGGGATCGGCGATGTTTGGTCTGAATGGTGAACCTGGAAGCTATAAAATAGAACTTTTAATTGAAAATATATACGGTCCTGGATAATTTATCTCCGTGGTCTGTATTTTAATGTATGAGACAGAGAAAAATATAAATAACCGATTGACAGATAGAGACACAAAATAAAAAGCGACATACAATGTTGCCAGTTTTAATGTGTGTAGGTAGGGATAATTGTGGATAGGCAATAAACTTCGCATTTTTCTCTCTCCGACTTACAAGATTCCCATAGCGATTCACTTCTAGACATGTAGGTAAAGACCGACCCAAGACCCTTCTCTTGTCAACTCGGTATAATTCATAGATTTAGGAAGAACAGATATCACATCGTGCATTTTAACCCGATCAAACAATCGGAGGTTGACTACGTACTGTAAAAACTAACTGAGATAGAGAAGGCGACATTGCCACATCTCAAATTTGCGCCTATCTACTTAGCTTGATTTGCAGAAAAGGTGACTTTAAAACCTTCACCGGATATCAGTAAATCTCAATTTCTTAATTAAATTAATAGTTTATTTTCAAAGAAGCATGCGTAATAATATGTTATTAACCAGAGGATATATGCGTTACTATTAAAGGACATGTTTACTGTTTAATGTGCTGAAACGTCTAGAACTATTGGCAACGTCGCTGCTAGTCTTCCAGAATGAAAATGAGCCGTCCGTCCCACCACCCCTCGCGACGGCCCTTGGCCCGTTATAGCGTACTACGTTTAGCTTACGGTGTGTTTGAAGTCGGAATCAAGTTCGAAATGAACTTTTCAGTGTTTTTCAGTAGTTTTTGTTTTTGTTTAACGTACTTTTGAATCTGCGAATTTTCAATATGGTACGACAGTGTCAAGTGTGTGGAAAAATAAGCTCAAATTACCCGAATTTGTCTTTTCACAGATAGGTACAAATTTCCGCCGTAATTGTACATAGGCGTCCCACAAGGGAGCCTTACAATTAAAATAATTCTAATTATATTTGTTGAATTTTGATCTATTAAAACAAGAACGTAGTAGCCGGTAATTGAATTATAATTCGTCTCAATTACTATCTAACTGTTGTAGATCATAACAAATTTGAATATAAACGTTGCATTTGAAACTTTATTATAAGCCAGAAAGTGACTTTTTTTTCCTTAAAATTGCGTCATATTTTGGTCATTATATACGATATTCTAAAGGAATTTTGCTCAACAAATAAACAAAGGTGTTTACCCGACCTTTTTTACATTTTACTGCTTTATTATATCTGCCCCTTCGGCGTTGTTTAGACAATTTTTTACCACCGTACAAATACCTCTTCCTAGAGTTATTTGTACGGTGTGTTTACCTTTTTTTTAGAATGGGACGAACTGTAAATAATTTTTAGGCTACTAGTTTTATACATACTTATATACAGAGTAACCCAGGCCTCCAAAAAAGCTTTTTACCTATTACGTTTTTGGTTTGTGATTTTTATTTCAATTTTTTACATAAGATGGAGGTCATTGTAACGCACATTTTCAAAATATTTTTGTCAACATACAGGGTGATTCAAACCGCAATACATATGCTTAATACAGTTCATGAAGATTGAGACATTTAACTAAAATTTGATTGTCTGATAAAACTACCTTTAAAAGTAATGGGTTTGTAAATAAACGTAAAATTCATTATTATGCGACAGAAATCCCATACTGTAGCACACAGATTTGATACTTTCAATGATAAATGCCTTCTATTGAGAGACTAAAAGGTAATTGCTTCGTATCAAAGCCATCATAATACAAGAAGAAGATCGAAAGTCAAATCTTGTCTTATATTTTCAAAAAAACACAATTTTCTCATTAAATATTGATTTTAGGTATAGGAAGTTATTAATAATACAAGATTAAACAACTATTACACAGTACTTCACAGGAAGCTATCGATTGCGAACTAACTAAATCGTTACTAATTACTAATTTTGGAAAGTTCTTTTTAAGATCAAAAAAGGTAAAACTAAAACCTAAACTATCATTTGAGATTAAACGGGAAGTTAAAATAAATAATGTTGCCTATTCTAAACAAGAAAAAATTATTTATAAGTTTTATAACATCTCTAATTAAATTTGGACGAAAAGAATATTTCTGTTTGCTGTAGGTAATTTTCTCAGGGAAAATACGTAAATAAAAATGACTTTTTAAGTCAAAAAAAGTCAAAAGGACAAGTTATTCCAAAAAAGGACTGTCCTTTTAAAAAGGACAGGTGGCAACCCTAGGTATTTCTGGAATGGAAATTTAATGGCAAATCTACAACTTTAGTTTGAAAATATGTTCCGGCCACCTATGTTTACAAAAATGTCTAAAATGTGCTTTACCATTGCCTCCATATTCTGAAAAAAAAATTGAAAGAAAAGTCACCAACCACAAACCTAATATAGAACTGTTTCAGAAACTTGAGTCACCCTGTAAATATTCAAAAGCAACTGAAAGTTTATATAGAAGTAACCGAAAGTTTATATAGAAGTAACTGAAAGTTTAAATTGAAAATCGACGTTGGAGCGATTTTCGAAAACTACCTACTAACGTTTCAACATAAGTATATATGGGATATTAATTATATTATTATATTATACCTTATAACAAAACTCATCTGACGAAAAAGTGTTAATGTAGTATATTAATATGGATTAAAAATTTTACTAATTACTTTACTTTTACTTTACTAATTAAATTCCTTCCAAAAAACGATACGCTACTGGCCATTAGAACAATCCAAATGCGCCTAGTTGCCGGGGTCGGAAATTTTAGACTTCCCTGTCTCTTCTGTCCTTGTTTAACACGTTGGAATGTTTGATACACTTCCAACGAGTATTTATGAATGAGATGTTCGGTCTATATTTATAATGTCTTTGGTATAATTATATTATTATCTTCGCCTTAAATTGATGAGAAAAAAAAACTAAACTTTTTAAAAATTTTCATGTATACTGCGAAAATGAAAATAATATATCTAAGATAAATACAGGATCCGGCAATAGTGCGTCGGGCATCTGTAGTGTCTAGAATAAGAGACTTTTTGATTAAGAATTTTGTTTAAGTGCAAACCTCAAGTATGTACGAGGATGTAAAGGTGAGGGTGAAAATATTTTAACTTCTATAGGATGACTCAAAAAGTGTGAGTGGATCGAGATCCTAAGATATAGTAGTATAATAGTATGATATGGTAGAGTAAATATATTTCGATAATTTGTTAATTCAAGATATTAAATAAATAAAAAATATATATTTTTCAATCTTCCTTAAAAAAATTATTACAAAGACAAGGACTGTCCTGAAATCAAAACTATATTAGATATTTACCTTAGATGATCTATACTTACTTTGCTATAAATATCGTGATCTTGAATCACACAGGGTGTTCAAAATTCTACGCCAAACTTTCTAAAATATAAAATAGTTTGTCTTAATTGTTTTTTTAAATGGAACACCCTCTATATTATTTTTTACTAGATGGACAGTAAAAAAATAAACATTTTTTGTATTTGAAGTATATCAAAATTTTTAATGGTTTCGCAGATACATGCAGTATTATTCCATAAGGCTCTTTCAATGCTAAAATACGAGAGAAAAATTACTGGGTGGGTTTGAAAAAAATTGTAGAAAATGTCATATGAAATATAAAACCGCGAATAACTGCGAAACCGTTAAAAATTTTCAAATACTCTAAATTCAAAAAAGGTTTATTTTTACATTCTCCATCTTTTGAAAAAATAATATACAAAGTGTTCCATTTAAAAAAAAAAACGAAGAAAAAATATTTTATATTTTAGAAAGTTTGGCGTAGAATTTTGAACATCCTGTAAGATTTACGACTATCATATTTACAGCAAAGTAAGAAGAAACCATTTAAAGTAAACACCTCGGTAAACACCTATTATAGTTTTAATTTCAATACAGTTCTTGTATTTTTAATAATTTTTTTGAGAAAGGCTGAAAAATATATATTTTTTATTTGTTTATTAATATCTCCAAACCTATCGAAATATATTTATTCATATCTTAGAATTATGTAAAGTGATCTGAAAGGAAGCCAAAAATGCAATAATATACAGGGTGTTCCATTTTAGAAAAATCATTCCGATCCACTCACAGTTTTTTGAGCCACCCTATACAAGTTAAAATATTTTTCTGAAATATATCCCAGTACATAGGTTAGGTTTGCACTTAAACAAAATTTCCAAGTTTTTTATTCTAGAATTTACAGATGCCGACGCACTACTATTATCGGACTGCATAATCTATTACAGTTGTAGTAAAATGAGTCACTAATTGTGAAAAACAAAGTTACAACCCTATAAGCAACATTTTTCGTAAACGCCTACTTGTGCGGTTTGAAATTTTGATGCAAATTTTTTCTAATACTCTTTCTAATACATTTGATTTTTCATTAAGGTGTATACATCACTGTGTTACACGATAAAATCCAGACCACGCTTTTTCGATGACCCGATCGGTATATTCTTCGACATTTAAGATTAATATTTGACATACTAACATCGTTTGGACCAATTCCAATGATAATGTCATACGTTCCAACCCATTTAGGAACGTAAGAAACAACGTATTCTCCAGGTTTGGGATTTTGAATGTTAACATCGATGTTTCCTTCGACCGCTTCGACTTGGACCCTTGGCTGACAAACGCTACTCACAGTAAATGTAGCCCTCTCACCAACTATGGCACTTTCTAAACCTTTACCAACGGCTCTGGGAGGTGGAGTTGGTCCAACCGGACCTACACCCAATGCTAACGGTGAGCCTTTAACTGGTACACCACCTAAAATAAACGTATTTTGAAGTTTCTTCTTATAAGTCTTTTTTTTTTTTTTACCATAAGTGACAGCTACTTGAAACAGTCCAGCTGAGTTCGGAGTAAAGCTCACTTGGATTAGGTTTTCGCCCAAATGTGTTTCTTCGACTGCCAGAGTTTGACCAATTGGATTGGTAGCTTGAACTTCTAAATCGGCTATACCAGCATTTTTAGTAAGTACTGCAAAGATTAACAATAATTTAAGACTTCACAGTTGGGGGTTGGCACTTTTGGTCTTAACAACAGCAAAATAAAATGCTAATTCACTACAGTACACTAAACACTACTTTTTTACTGGACCCGCGTTTCACTAACCATATTAGCATCATCAGCAGATGATTAAAACTCAATCTTTCGCTAATAATGCTATAATGTAGTGTTGAGAAAAATCAAATGATTTCAATCCTCGAGGATTCCAATAATCGGATGATCATCCGAGGAATCCTCGGTCATAAAATTATCTCTGTATAATATCTCGATCGAAACCTGAATAAATACTCGCCGCTGGGTGTGAGTGATTTTGCTTGCTGTTTTTAACAAACTGTTGCCATGTACTTGAATGACTTAAATAATATTGTAATAAAAATAAATACTAATTATTTTAAACACTTTTTTAATATGTTCGTGTATAATTTCATGTGGGAAATAAAATTTTCATAGGTTTTGCTTTAAATTGTGCTGATTTTGCTTTAACTCCGACTTTGAGGCTAATCTGGCAACCTTTCACCACACTTTCAGGCCAAATAAAACCAAGTAATTCTAGGAAATACTTGCGGATTTTTAAAAAGGGCTCGTTATTTATTGTTTATTTTTCGGCGGTCGGTCATTGAGATAAAAAATATATTTTGTTTTACTTTTTAATAGCGTACTTTCACCGAAAATAAACTGTAGTACCTAATAAATTGTAGTAGTATTGTGTTATTGTGCATATTTTAAGTTTTTGTGCTACACAATATCCAGTTTTAAAATTGAATTTACCAACTGTATTGTTTGCACTTAATACACACATCTTAACTAATAATCGAAAAAAAATTGTTAATGATGATTGTTTCGAATTTTCAACCTCTTTCTCTTGTGAACCCTCATAATAGAAAAATATTAACTAATAAAATTTTACTTCAGGCCGAGCTTAAGGCTTACAACGAGTCAGCTGTCGCTTTAAAAGCTGTTTAAAAAAATGAATTAAAGAGCGGGCTTTTAATATTGTTATTGTTCTTGTTGGAAAATTCCGCTAAAATCATTCGCTTTATATCTACGTTCCATCACGCTAAATTTCGATTAAACTTTCATCAGAATATAGTCTCCAATAACAAATTACCGTTGTGATGTATAAAAAATAAGATTTAACAATATAATTCATACAATTATTAAATTAAAATTAAAAGCCAAACATGTGTAAATGTTATTTATTATTTAAAGTTTTCATTTATAAGTCAAATATTTAAACATCGTTTATTATAATAAACAAGAGTTAACGTAATACGCCCAAAGTTTTGTAAATGGAGTAAATATAAATAGGTACTTAAATGATGGCAAAAATAAAAGACTTACATTATATTTTTAGGGCCACAAACAAAAGGAATTGTATAATTAAAACACATAACAAATTATAGTTTGAAAACCGTTTTGATAATATTATGATTGGCGCTATGACAACGACAATATTTTTGGAGAATTTGACAATAGTATGACAATGGCCGTTGGAAACTATGGAAACTACAAAAAAAATTCTGATTTAACGCCATCTGGCAATAACTAGGAGCAACTTCTTAACCTAAAAATTAATTGCACTACCACCTAGCGCCTGAGGCTGGAACTATTTTATTTGAAATTTCCGTGGAAACGGTGGAACCGCTTTTGCTATTTCACTTTCCCTTCCCGCCCCTGTGTGAACCCTCATAATAGAAAAATATTAACTAATAAAATTTTACTTAAGGCCGAACTTAAGGCTTACAACGAGTCAGCTGTCGCTTTAAAAGCTGTTTAAAAAAAATGAATTAAAATATACAGCAATATTGTTATTATTCTTGTTGGCAAATTCCGCAAATCATTCGCTTTATATCTACGTTCCATCACGCTAAATTTCGATTAAACTTTCATCAGAATATAGTCTCCAAACGTACAACTACAAGCTAAGGTTTTTTACAAGAAAACACGTAAATTGAAAATTAAAAATGTAAATAAAGCAAAATCTCCAAAGCCTTAACCCAAATAAACAACTGTGGTTTTGTCAAATGGAATTTTGAAAGTCGAAAACTGACGTATATTATGAATTTTCAAATGTTTCAATTCTGAATTATTACACAGAAAAAAACAACATATTATTATTATATCAATGGTTAAAAAACTATAAATCTTAAAATATAAAGTATGGAGAAAAAATCTTTATAATTTAAATAAATATTATAATTAATATATCCCATCTAAACAAAACAAAAATAAGTCATGTATTTCTGTTCAAAAATGCAAGTTACTACTCTGAAAACCGACTATTATTGCGCGCCATATGCGAGCAAGTGATTAAATGGTTATCCTCTGTCCTCTATAGTATAAAAGGTTTCAGCATAAATCGTAAGTCGCCTGTTTTTAGTGGGTATCAACACGAGTCCCACACTGTCTAGGGGTTAATTCTATGACCATCTCTCTCGAGATGGTCATGGAAATGATCACTATTCGTCTATAAAAGATTTTTCAACCAGCCCCTCACCAAAAAAAAAAAAAAAAAAAGTAAATCATCGCCTGTATCGTCGCGAACAGCGAGGACGGTACACCACACCCGATGTTAGTTGCGTGCCGAGTGCCGAGTAATGCTCGGGGATCGACAAAAAAAGGTTTCAGCATAAATCGTAAATCGCCTGTATCGTCGCGAGCAGCGAGGACGGTACACCACACCCGATGTTAGTTGCGTGCCGAGAAACCCCAAGGGATCGACAAAAATACTCGAGACATACCGAGGATATGAATACTCGGATGACCGAGTATTTTTCACTCAAGTGATCCCAGAACTACTATAATGCATGGTTAGCGAAACGCGCGCCCAGTACAAAAGTAAAGTGTTTTGGTGTATTGTGGTGAATTAGTTTTAATATACATAATTTAAAAATAAATACAGTGCGTCAGCTTTAATAGAACAACTACAGTCCGCTAAATGAACCAAGTGTAGAATGTGTAGTATATGTATAGTGTAGAATAATTAGTTAGAAAGATGTGAAGTCTCTTAGATATATTTTCACGCAACGCTATTATTTTATAATTTTTTGTCATAATATTTTCACCTATGAGATGCATGTTTTTGTAAAATATGCATGTTTTTGTAAAATATGCATGTTTTTGTAAAATATGCATGTTTTTGTAAAATATGCATGTTTTTGTAAAATATGCATGTTTTTGTAAAATATGCATGTTTTTGTAAAATATGCATGTTTTTGTAAAATATGCATGTTTTTGTAAAATATGCATGTTTTTGTAAAATATGCATGTTTTCGTAAAGTATGCATGAGCCCCATTTTCTTTATATAAGTCTTCATACTTATTGCAAGTAATATCAAATAATTGATATTCTATTTAAAAATTACAATTTATGTCAAAATTAAAGCTTTTTTGTTATTTCGAAAATTAGAATATGGCGATTCAGATAAAATTCTGAAATTTTCATAATTTACATTATTTTTTAAAACCAATATTTACAGAAATTGGTAGTTATTGGCTAAAATATAAGTGAACATCCTGTACATAAGTACTCTGATACCGATCAAGGGATATCGAAATATTAAACATGACATTCTATAAAACCTAGATCGCTAGATTACTTTTTAATTATTACTCACAAATTAATATTTAGATTGTATGGGGTTGTGGGTTTTCCTCAATTGTCCAATTATTAAAGTACTAGGAAGTTAATAATGTATGGCTATCGCTTCTTTTATTTTATTAAACATAATATAAATAAACATAACATAACATATACAGAAAGCTTAAAGTTTTTTTGGTTTTACCAGGTTTACTTGTTATTATCAGGTATTAGTTGCTAATTTGAAGTTTGACTTCATATAATGTTATTATTAGTAGTTATAAAACAGAACGTCAACAGTTATAATAGACGGTTTTATTGAGTTTTTATTGTTTCTCTTCTTAATTTTCTAATTTTTATAAAGATTATGTCTTATTTTTCCAAAAAAATCCTTTATGGGTATTTCGCCACTGCACTGCAAGAAAATCTACAAAATAAAATAGTTATTTTTTGTCAACACTTCTGCGTTAAACCTAAACGGACACTGCTTGTCAGAAGTTATGTTTACAGTTATAAAAATTTGCCTAACAAAGAAAAAAATGCTTAACGTTTCGGAAAGTTTAATAATAATGTTATAATATAGACGTATCTGTTTTAAAAAAAGTAAAGTGTTCTCGAATAGTATTTTTTCCTTATTCTTGTATTATATTCCCGTATTTTTTTTGCTTCCGACGACGGAAAGAGATAAACTTTTCGAAACGTTAAGCATTTTTTTCTGTTAGGCAAATTTTTATAACTGTAAATATAACTTCTGACAAGCAGTGTCCGTTTAGGTTTAACGCAGAAATAACTATTTTATTTTGTAGATTTCCTTGCAGTGCAGTGGCGAAATACCCATAAAGGATTTTTTTAGAGAGATTCATATTTCTGTTTCGATCTTGCTGGAAGCAATCCAGAAATGGCTCTGAATGTCAGAGCTTTCTTTCAGAGTCTTCCTCAATGTCAGAGGGAATACTTTCCGAATCGCTCATTTTTTAAACTAGTGACATCAATATTATTTACTGCCATATTGACATTGTCATGCATGGTGTTATTTGAACAAAGGTATTAAGGTAATTGATTTTTAGGATAGGTATATAGTTAAGTACAATAATTTTTAAAATTCATTGTGTGTTTTTATAGTTAGAGTAGATAAAATATTGTACAATATACACGAGTTAACTCGATTAAGATACTTGTGTGGTTACCCAACTCGTGCAACTTTCACACGCGTATCTTAATGATGCTGTTAACTCACTTGTATCGTAAATATCTATTAAAATATTTATAGCATGCTCATAAATAACCCGCTAATAGAGGATTTCGTTTCCCCCCTTACAGATGCCCCGTAGCTACGGAACAGATAAACGTGCTGTATATTACCATTGAAAATAATCTTTTCTCCGACATTGCCTTGCGACGTCGGTATATCCACGATCCTAACCATATCCGGATCGCAAGCTTGGCAAATGAACGGACTGCCAGTCAGAGCCTTGGCCTGGTGCAATACTTCGACCTTGTGAGGCCCAACGTCGCGGGCCGTGAATTCTGCTTGAAGTTTTCCGGTTTTCGTTTGGTAACAACGAACCGGTACCGCCGAGCCGGAAGGACTGCTTACTACCACGTCGAACTCCCTGGCGGAGCGTCCCAAGGTATCGATGTGGAACGAGGTTACTTTGCCTACTTTAGCTTGATACAGACCTGGCAAAAAATAATAATAGCTATTAAAAATTTAAAATTTTTAAGCCCACATATATGGCTGAAAGCTTTTTTGGCGTTTTTAGGGTGAAGCGTCTTTTGCGACTAAAACAAAATAACAGAATTATATAGGAGTGGCCCGACCAAAAGCGTTCGGTGTGTCTCGCAAAAAAAACGCAAATGAAAACAAATAGACCAGTCGGCAAGTGCATCGATGGCGGGAGCAAATCCGGACAAGCTGGAATAAGTTTTATTTTGTTTGTTTTGGTGTCGAGAAGCATGTATTAAATTTGCACTCCCCGTAAAGCCCGGTTTTGGCCGCCATCTTGGAAAAATTGGCTAAAATTCGGTTTATTTTTCATTATTTGTCAATAACTCGATTTCTATCAACTTTAGTGCAAAATATGTAGAGACCAAAACTAAAGAAGAGGAAAAACTCTATAAAAAACGTTGTATGGGTTTTTTTCGTGCGACTACCCAAAGTATCGAACTTTACGAAAACAAAATTAAAGTTTCGTATAACGTACGTGTTCAATATATCCGGGGTTAACTGTACTTGTTTCCACACCACCTTGAGCGGCATCCCCGATACATAAAGCCTAAAAACTTGTTTGCTACTGGTTGGCAGTAGCCTGCTGTCGCGGTTATAATGGAAGAACGCAATTTGCATTATGACCGCAATAACGGACTAAATTTTTATTGTTGCGCGACTGGTAGAAAATCAAGTTTAACCGCCATATCTCTCAGGAAGCTGCCTTGAGGAAAAGTAGGTACCCGGCACGTTTTTTTTTGAGTGGTCTCCCCATTTCCAATAGGCCTAATCCACATGTCGACAACTTAGGTTTCTTTTGAGGTGGAAGGTTCATCAGAGTTCTTTCGTTTTTTTTATGTTACTGGCTGTTCAATATAATCTTTCTGAATGTCTTCCATATCTGTATCATATTCCGGATCTGGTTCATAAGGTGCAGAATATTCTTTTCGTTGATCTTTATCGAGAGGAAAATTGTCCTCGTACTCATCTTCGTCTAATTTTGCCACCTCCCAACTCTTCGAACATGATTTGCCCTGACAAAGTGCACACATTACCGAGCAACGCAAACCTACTTTGCGGCAACTACAAGATGTATTACAACCTTTGGCACATTTACATGAGATCAGATATATAATAATTCTTGGGGAGCTGCATCTTGGGAAGTAGCAATGGGCATCAACCCATTCTTTGAATTTTTCCATCCCCAATCCAGAGGTGATTTTTCATTCCCATACCATAGCTGTACGTACGGAAGGAGTGCAAGCGAGCTGCGTCTTTGGTCGGTGGTAATGATACTAGGTTCGGTAAGCTTTTAGTAATAGATTTTACGAAACACTGGTATCTATACTTATCTAATGAGTCGCATTTTTTGGATCCATATAGATGTAGAAGAAATCGTTCTCCAGCTTTTTCTATACCTTCTGGGGATGCGTTTGGGTCTTTGAAAGTTTGTGCGGCTGTCTGTAATAATTCTTTTTCTTTCTGTAAAACTTAACGAATTTCATTTTTTCTTGTCTGCATAATGCGGATGTGGTGTCGCAGCCACTAAATGCGTGGAGAAATAAAAAGAGTGAGGTTCTCGGAAAGACAAAAACTGACTAGAATAGAGGAAATAATAACTGCTTATAATATATTTAGCGTGTTTAAACCGAGATAACTGGGAAACGGGTCGTCGCACGGAAAAAGCACATAGGACGTTTTTTGTAGAGTTTTTCCTCTTCTTTAATTTTGCACTAAAGTTGATAGGAATCGAGTTATTAACAAATAATGAAAAATAAACCGAATTTTAGCCACTTTTTCCAAGATGGCTGCCAAATCCGGGCTTTGGGGGTGGTGCAAATTTAACACGTGGTTCCTTACACTAAACTGAACAAAATAAAATTTATTCTAGCTTGTCCGGATTTGCTCCCGCCATAAGCTATTTTTTAATACCTGGCGACTGGCCTAAAATCAATTTATTTTCTGTCGCGTCTTTAGCGATTTCTAAAATGAGACACCGTCATAGGCGGACGTAATATTTAATAATACAATAAAAATAAATTAAATAGTATGCATTTTTTTTCATTTTAGATTGTAGAACTACAGCCTATTATCTAAAATTATTTTTATAGAGAACATCTACTGTTTAGGAAGATCCTATTAAATTCAAAAATTTGAAGGAAATGTTTGAAAAAGTGTAATTTTTAAATGTTGAAAAAGTAATAAATTAAAGGAATATTTTTTACGCGTAAAAAATAGTTTTTATACGTAAAAAGTGTTTTTTACGCGTAACAAATAGTTTTTTACGGGTAATAAATAGTTTTATACGTTTAAAAAATAGTTTTCTAGGTGCAAAAAATAGTTTTTTATGCGTAATATTTTTTTTGCGTAAAAAATATTTTTTACCGGTAGTGAGTAGTGTCTACACGTAAAAATAATACTTTTTTGCGTAAAAAATGGCTTTCTATCAGTAAAAAATAGTTTTCTACCAGTAACAAATAGTTTTATAAGCGTAAAAAATAGTTTTTTCCCCGGCCCGTCCACGATTCAATCCCAGCATATCCTTTATCTTCGTCTCTTCAACGCTAAGCGCGCCGATCTCGGCTATCTCTTTCTCACAGTATTGATCGTTGCACGGGCCGGGAATCAACGAGCTTGCGACGTTACTAATTGACATCTTGGCTACTTGGCATCATGGCAACGATGGGCAATATATCAGAAACTGTGATTTATGAATGATATTGATAATATAAACGTTAAAAACATCAAAATTGCTAGTGAATCCATAATGTCTCCCCCTAACTCATATGTTCAATCAAGTATCCGGAATATTTCCACCAAAATTATATCCGGAATATTTCCATCAATATTAAAAGGATCTCTTGTAGTCCCAGTATATAAATCGGGAAACAAAGGCTGAATGTTTGAACTATCAGCCAATTACATTGCTGAATCATTTGACAAAAATACTTAAAAAACTGATTATAACGCGTTTAGTATCATATTATTTAGAAAAATAAAAATAATACCTATCTTCGAACAGTTTAGTTTTTTGAAAAACACTTGTACGAGTGATTCGATCAACAAGCTTCTAGAGCATGTTTATAGTAATATTAATAACAACAAAAAGACGATTGGAGTGTTTTTAGATCTAAAAAAAAACGTTTGATTCGATATCACACAAACGTCTTGCAAAAAATGGAAAAAATGGCACACCTCTATAACTTTTTTATTTTTTCAGATTAAAAAACGAGATTTGGTATGTTAGTATATGACATAAATTAGGATTGATTGACGTATTCAATTTTCCTGTTTCAATTATTGTTCCCTGTTTCACAGGAAATGACTAAAACTTTTAATTTTTAAATGGTATCCTCGGTATTTTTTTTCACTTTATTCGACAGAAAATGACACTCAACAACAACTTTTGACAAATTCGCTTTAAAAAAACATCGTATTTTAAATTTCAATCCATGGCTGTGTTAAAAACACTAATTTTTAATCAAGGAGCCTTGGAAGAATAGATTTGATCGACTAATGATTTTAGTGTCTTTTCCTAGCCGGTTAAAAGATGCCCAAATCGTATTTTTAATCATATCTCATTTTTTTCAAATGGAACGAGAGTGGCTCGTTAGCATATTTGAAAAAAAACATTTTTTTACGAATAATTTGGTACCACACACTTGTTATTTCGAGTCAATTTGTTGTTATGAACCGCATGTTACAATTTCAAATAAACCATATGCGAGAATGTCAAAAGTTGGCATATGATAAATATGTCATTCTATTCAGAGTGTAATTAGTAAAAAAGTAAAAAAAAACGAATAAAGTAAAAAAACCGAAGATACCGTTTGAAAATCAAAAGTTGTAATCATTTCCGTTGAAACAGCAAGTGACCAAAAACAATTGAGTATGTCAATCAATCCACACCAAATCTCGTTTGTTTTATCTGAAAAAAATAAAAAAGTTATAGGGGTGGGCCACTTTTGAGACGCATCCGGTATAGAGTTTGAGAATTTTGTTAAGAAAGCAATAGATAGGTTTAAGCTTTAACGCCAGACGTTTTTAGTATATACAGATTTAATGAAAAAATTATAGATATTTTTCGAAGAAGAGGTAGAAAATTTGAGGGTTCACATGCATATGTGCACTTACTAAGGAAGCGCCATTGCCTTTCAAAGAAATCCATAATAAACTTACCTAAACCTCCAGCCCAAGGTTCCTGTCCAGGACTCTTAACTGGTACTTCCAACACACCAAATTTAGGCACATCATTATAATATAACGTCACCCTATGAGGTGCCGCGATTATAGGATGAAACACCACCTCCCACATATTCGAATTGATGGGGCTCTGACGCACGCTATGAGCAACATCTCTGTTCGCCACGCGAACTAAAGCAGTTAGCTTGCCAGGGCCCACTTTGTTCATGTTGATGCTGACTACTGCGGGCCGATGACAGACGGCTTCGGGTACGTTTACAACGTCAATTTTGGTGGTATCAAAAACGTGCATGGTTCGTGTTGAAGCGAGCCTAAAAAAGTTTTGAATAAGCGCATTTTGTATTGCTTTTTCCCATTACTTTTTCCCATTACTTTATCATACGGTACGAAGGATCTAGATACGCGGGAAAAAAATAGGTAATTCGTTTTTTTAGTTTACTTTAGTTTGCGCTACTCTCCGCTAGATGGGTCAAGTGTATAATGTATTAATAGTTGTGATCTATGGAATATACACTCAGATGCAAAAAAAAACGCAACGAACAAATTTTTAGTCAAATTTAAAATGTTATATTTTTGTTATTTTTAGCCCTATTTTCATGATTTTTTTTAGGAAACTATATATAATTATATCTACTTACTAATTTGTAAAATAAGTTTTTTATAAAATTTCGAATTTGGCTATTATACAGGGTTAATCGAGGGATTGTTTTTTACCATAAATTTAAAACACCCTGTGCAATAATTTAGTGTGTAAATTTTCCTAAAATATGATTTTGCGGTCAGAACTATGACTCTTGAGCATTTTGTTTTTTGATTCATGTCAATACATGCTTTGGTTAACCTAACCTAAACAACTACATTATACTCTAATACCATATGATCGAATAAAAACGTCGTCAGCGATGGCTATGAAATGACGATCGATGACATTTCTCATATAAAATGAGAGCGATCTTCATTTCATAGCCATCGCTGACGCCGTATTTATTCGATCATACGGTACTGTGTGATACCTCCCTTGGCTGCTATAACTGCCTGTATACGTCAGTTGGTATAGTCATTGAGGCTGCATATATCATATTGCGTTATACTCTCCTTCTTCTTTGAGAACCAAGCGAAGTTGGTACCACTTAGCAATCTCTAACCCTCCTGTCAAGCATTTCCCAAACGTCAAACATGATGGGCAGTTCATAGTAGTATATAGTTCGCAATAATCACCAAAGGCACCTCGTCATATTGAAAAAATAGTATCAAAAAGAAATTGCAATTGCAAATTGTTGGTTCAATGGTTCATTGCAAAAGTTCATTTCGGTCTTAAAAATTAACCAAGGCATGATTAACCTGTCATGATCCAAAAAACAAAATGCTCAGTAGACATGGTTCTCACCGTAAAATTATATTTTAGGAAAATTTAGACAGAAAATTATTGCACAGGGTGTTTTAAAATTAAGGTAAAAAAACAACCCCTCAATTAACCCTGTATAATATGCCAAATACTAAAGTTTATAAAAAAACTGAGTTTACGAATTAAAGTTAATATAATTATATACAGCTTGCTAAAAAATTTATGAAAATAGGGCTAAAAATAACAAAAATATAACATCTTAATATAGCTGTCAACCATATGTCTCAAATATCATAAATTTCGATGTTTTTTCCTTATGGCGTGAGCTCTATTTAGACATACTTGAATCAATGCTATTATTTTAAATTTTTTGTCAAGCATAATATATCTAGTTATGATTCCCACGTTTTTTGTAAGATAGGCACCAGCGTTATTTTCTTTAAATAATCGTTAATATTATTTGAAAATTTGATTTTTAATAGAACTATACCGTTAATGGTCGTTCTTGGATGCATTTGGAAGGATAACCTAAGAATAACGCAAAATTTACCAGCAATTTAAAATGTAAAAACAGTACATCATTCCTTCTTTTGTATTTCCCATATTCATATTTTACAAATTATTTAAAATTCCACACGCCACCCAGTACATTATACTACAAAAATTATCCTACATTTAGATTTACTAACTAAAAAAATAAGTTATATCAAGCAAACCAAGAAATGAAATTCCATTTTTTCAGAAATAATTTATATACGAATCAATAACTTACTCGTGTCCCTTGTAAGAATGCACTCTGTATGTTCCAGTTTGACTTAGAACAAACTGTGCTTTATAATCCTTAACAATGTATTTAACGTTGTGGTTATTCGGGTCTTTGATTTCTAATCGGTGGTTATCAGTCGGAAGATCCATGTAACAAGTGGACCCGATTTGGTAGTACTGTGTTGCTTCAACCTATAAAAATTATTTAGAATATATTCTTAGATTAACAAAATAATAAAAATATAATACAAATTATAAAAAAAAATATAGTGGTTTTCTCTCTCATAATTAATTTCAAATTTGGACCTTTTCATCTTATGGTATTGTCTAATGAATTAATAGTTATTTCTTATACAAAACGATAAAATGTATGTATTTTATCGTCAACCGAAAAGATCAATTAATTTCGGGAGATGATAATGCAATTTTATCGTTGTGTCAATATTTTTTTTTCCATAGTGAGTTACGTTTTAAAAAATATTCAGAAATTATTATTTCAAGGAATTTATTACGAGTAGAAAAAATATTGTGCTGGGTTGGCGTTGGTTTCTATGTAATTTGACAAATAAATAAAGCTGTCTCTTTAGTTGTCAGTTTTGAGTCAATATTTTTTAATTCTCTTTCGTGTCGATTGCTGATTGAATTGGTGCCAGAAATGGCTCAAAACGAAATAAGTAACAGATACTCAGGCTGAGGCGACAAACGCCATATCCAAACTACTTCCATTTAAATCTCGAATAACTTATGAAAAGGAATACAAAAATGTTCAAAAATGGAAGCAATTAAAAAACGTGCGAGAAGAAAGATCAAGTGAAATCATACTTTTAGCATATTTTTCTGAAAAATCAAAGAAAATTCAGCCGTTCAGTTTATGGTCGCACTATTCAATGCTATACCGTTTAAATTCCCGTAGTAGTATGTAGCGGTTACAAACCGAAAAAGTCAAAAATAATACAGGATTGGAGAATAAAGTTTTTTAACCTATCCTCGCTGTTAAAGTATCATTTAATCTACCCTTGCGGTTAAAGTACTATTTTATCTACTATTTTTGATAGATATAAGGCAATTTTAACAGCTGCTATGGAAAAAATAAATACTTACAACTGAACAATGGAAAGGACTGCCAACTACTGCAATATCGTTGAAGGTAATGTTAACAAAGTGATCTTCTGCAGTCAACGGAACAAAAGTAACATCGTATAGCCCTCTAGCGCATGCTACCACTTCCGCTTTAATGGTGGTATGCTGCGTGGATACCACCAATTCTAGGGTACCTTCTCCGGCTTGAGCTGCATCGACACTGAACGTTACTGGTTTTCCGACTTCAGCAGGACCAAGTTCTCTAAAAATGCCATTATTTAAATCGTAACTGTGATCAATTTCTCATAATGACTCGACCATTACGGTTCGTTCATTTGAACAAACTACAAACACATATGGCGTATCACAGTATAAATATACAGGGTTCGCATCTGTAGCTACTAGAATAAAATACTTGGAAATTTTGTTACATAAAGTATGTACTAGGATGTATTTCAGCAAAAAATATTTTAACTTCTATAGAATGGCTCAAAAAAGTGTGAGTGGATCGGGATGATTTTTTTAAATGGAACATCCCCTATATTATGGCATTTTTGGCTTCTTTTCAGATAGCTTTATGTATTTGCTTTGGTTCGTAGCTACAGGGTATTAAAGTTTTAATAATCTTTTGATTTATTCTAATTTTCTTTCAAGTTTCTAGTGATTCGAACGAAATTTTGAGGGTAAAAGTTACTATAAATGCTATGTATTTTAATGCTAAAAAAGTGTCGATAAATTCATCAGGGACGTGCATATGGGTTGAAATATTTTTCAAAAAAAAACATGTGCGCCACTGATTTTTTTCTTCTTTTGAGATCAAAATTAAGTAGACCGTTTAATGCAAATTAAAAGTCATCTCTTAAAATTTTGTCAAATTCGGCCTCCTTGATGAGATAAACGCAATTTTATTGATCACAATAATTAATAAAATTGAAATTAAAATAAAATTAATAGATTACATATTTTACCTCAAATTGTCATTAAATATTATTACTATTAGTTTATTATTACTATTAGTCCAACCTACAGCAATTTTAAATAAAAAAATAATGGTATTTAAGGTAATTACAAAACTGTGCATTTCAATACCCATGTTCATAGGAAGTTTTTTTTCATATTTTTTTGATGAGGAATCAATGAGTACTTATTTAAAACTTTCGCAAGTTAATGATATTTTTTTTAAAGATTGTTTTTAGACTTGGGTCATTGCAAATTAATAAAATTGCGTTTATCTCATCAAGGAGGCCGAAATCGACAAAATATCAATAGACAACTTTTAATCGGCATTAAACTGCTTACACTATTTCGCTAACAAGAAAAAAAAATCAGTGGCTTACATGTATTTTTTTAGAAAAATATTCCAGTAATAACCCATATGCACGTCCCTGGTGAATAAGTCAATACTGTTTTAGCTTTAAAATATGTCGCATTTATAGTAACTTTTACCCTCAACATTTTATTCGAAACGCTAAAAGTACTTTAAAGACCGCGTATTTATACAGGGTGTCCCAAAAATAAGTGCAAGTATTTTAACTGGTAGTATAGTTCAACCCCAGAAAAACGCCTATGAGGTTTTTTTCGCGAAAAAAAATTTGTGAAAATTTGACATTTTTTGAACAATTTTTTGGAACTTTTTTTAATTTTTAGTTAAAAAACATAATTTCTCGATAATATGGGCAACATAGATATTAGATTAAATTTACAAGAAAGAAAATCCAGAAAAGATCCAGTGGTTCTCAAAATGTTAGCAAAAAATCATTTTTTTGGAAATTTTCAAAGTCAAATAAGTCTGTTATTTTGAACTTATTTGAAAAACGATGAAGAGAAAATATGTTTCTTTTATCGAGATCTACCACCCCTTAAAATACTTGCACTTATTTCTGGGACACCCTGTATAGTAAGGCACCAATATTTGGACTCGAACAAAAGTCCTAAACAAACATGGATGCAAGCGATAAGAAAGTTATTTACAAAAAAAAATATCTATTTATACTGTGTTACGTAAAATGGGTATGTGGTTCGTTCAAATGAACGAATCGTATAGAATAGTATAATTTGATTCACTAAAAAGTATAATAATAGCCATCACTAGTGTTTAGTGATTTCTATTTTGACTTTATTGCAATCAAATGGGATTTGGAATGTTAAAGAAAACAACTGTCACTGTTATGCTCGCTGTTATGTATCCTTTCGTTGGATATAGAAGAGTGCATAAAGGAGGGTCCACATTTAGTAACATGTTATATAACATTGCTATTTAACAAGCTACATATCACATGTTAAAAAACCGGGAGTCGTCCACATTATAGTTTTCGTAATCATGAATCGTTTTGGCGAGAAAGAGGTTCTGCTCGCGGCAGCGGCGTGCGTAATTATTTTTGAAGAAAGAGAAAGAAAATCGAAAAAAAGCGTTTTTTTAGTCCGCCATAGCCTACAAGCCAGATCTAGATATAGTTGAACTCAATTAGCTTACCTTTTCAATACCTCTACCTCGGCTGTTTCTCGTGGTGTGTTTCCGTCTTTTAAAAACATTAATAACTTAAAAGCAAACCATTTTGAATGATCCACTTCATCTAAACCAGTACCTGATTTGCATTTCTTTTGTTCCCTTTGTTCCAAATACATACTTTTTGCAATTTTTAACCATGTATCATGCTTTTTTTTATTTCACTTTAAATGAGGGATTACAGATATCCCAGAACACTGTACGATCTCTATACAACTTAAGTAGTTGACAAGTCTACTCTTGGCTCTACTCCATTAATAAGAACCATACAATCGAAAAAAAATGGCGTCAGCGATGACTATGAAATGAAGATCGCTGTCATTTTATATGGAAAATTATATGGGGAATGTCATCTATCGTCATGTCCAAGCCAACAGGATAAGAGGCCGACTGGAAGCAGTTTTTTTTCGATCATACGGTATTATTGACCATTAAATAAACAAACAAATATCAGCTCACCACACTCTGATTCTGTCGCGCACATCCCTGAAAATATGAGTGGCTAAACTAGAAATTTAGCAACTCTGGACGCGTCATTTCATGTTACAACAGCAGTGTTAGGTTAGGTTAGGCGCAACATCTTTTGATCTTTACCGACTACAAATGGATAACATCTAGCAAGTTATATAGCAGCGAAATTTGCTAAATATGACTAAAAAATATGTAACATGTTATATAACTTTGATATATATAGCAGAGTTATATAGCAAGTGTGGACCGTCCTTAAGAGTTAATTCATTTTTACCGTGTTTCAACTTACCTAAAGCTTAAATCGTTCATGGCTCTTGTAATGTCATTCTTTCTTCCAGGTATGCCGGTAACCAGTACTTTATTGACATCATAAACATTACAGCTGAACGGCGAACCGATGACGTGTTGATCGTTGATCAAAATGGCGACGGAATGTCTTCCTACCATTTCCGGTATGAAGTGGGCCGTATAAACATCCGCTATGGTTGACAGCTTGACCGGAAGTATCTTGCCAGTAGGCGCAGTAACAATAATTTGAGGTTCACCGCCTAAAAACAAAGCCAGTGCGTAATGAATATGTTTTAAAATAATTTATAATTATAGTAGTAGAACCAAATAAAACTGTTAATTTGTATCCTAGATTATACAGGGTGTCCCAGAAATAAGTGCAAGTATTTTAAGGGGTTCTATCACCCCTAAAAATAATATATCTATATCGATAAATAATATATAAATAATATATATATATATATATATATATATATATATATATATATATATATATATATATATATATATATATATATATATATATATCGATAAACGAAACATATTTTCTCTTTATCGTTTTTCAAATAACTCCAAAATAACGAAGTTATTTTAATTTGAAAATATCAAAAAAAAAAATATTTTTTGCTAAAATCTTTAGAACTACTGGAGAATTACTCTTTTCTGGATTTTCTGTCTTGTAAATTTAATCTAATACCTATTTTGCCATATTATCAAGAAATTATATTTTTTAACTAAAAACTAAAAATTTCCAAAAAAAAATCAAATAATTTATAATATAATAAAACCTCATAGGCGTTTTCTGAGTTTTCTATAAAAGTATCTAGGTATTCTAAGTATTCTCTAAGTAAAGGTATCTATTGTATTTTTGAAGATAGTATAGGCTTGGTGCATTTCAGTTGATTTCAACAAATTTCAACCGCAGCGCTTCAACGGCAAAAATCAGAAATTATTAGTACCTATTTCACGCCGCCGTTATGTTGATCGCATTAAAATAATATTGAAATCGTGGTTTTGTCATAATATTTAAGTATTTTAGTTTTTTGCTAATGCAGTTATTGAGACTATAAAATACTCAGGTACGAGGTTTGTGTGATGTAACGCTGTTTCGGGTAGTAAAAAATAAATGAAAAAGAATTCGAACTAGGCGTCATGTTGTGTTGCGACAATTGGAAATGTTAATAAAATTGCAAAAAAATGTTAACGCGAAAAGGTGAGCATAATGAGGACGTTGTTGGGTGCAATAACATTCAATAATTCAACTTTCCCGGATATTCAACTCTCCCGAAACAACATTTTATAGCTTCATAGTTTCTCACACCGATTTGATCAAAAGCAAAAATGGATTCAAGCGGTTCGACGAAATAAATGAGTAAACAAAGTGCCTCGTTAAGTCGTTACATAATCAAAAAATTAAATAGACATATACCACGGCACATAAAACAATCGGCACGCCAACTCTACTCAGATTCCATTGTTTAAAATTTCTATAAAATTTGACCTTGTCGGCGCCATTATGGTTTCCTAAATAAATTTCTCGAATTAAACGTATTAAAATTTTCTGAAAATACGACAGGGTCGTATTAAAAATTGTAATTGACTGAAACTGAATTTTATTTACACACTTTTGTCCAAAACAAAATGAATCGTTAACCGCGCATACTTCTCGAAAAGTAAAAAATGAAAAAAATCAATTAAATATTCCATTATTAAAAATAATTAAAAAAAAAAAAAAAAAAAAAACATGCAACTAACAAAAACATGCCAGGAGTTACAAACAAGAATTAAAAAATACCAATAAAATATTTTATTGAACAATATAAAGAGGCTACGTACAAATTAACAAATCCACAATTTTAACATTGAAAATATTCTTTTTATTAATATTCAAATTCTCACAAACTAATAAATCCACAATTCTTTTGAGAAACTTCCATTTTCATTGCAGGAAACAAAGTAGGTAACCGTAATGTATTTCTCATAATGGTTACAAAGGA